TTAGTGTGGAATGTGGGTCAGAGATACTGAACAGCAAGACTTTTGTTTTGTTTTTCAGACTCTGATCTTCAGAAGTCAATTATTTATTTATTTTTAACTATGTCAGTGAATGGATGGGTGGGATGTTTTAATTTAAAGACATTAAAGAACCTGTATGCAGTGTTTGAACTATATGAGACAAATATGAGACTATATGAGGCCTTGGTGTGGAGGATTACTTATGCATTAGTGTACTTATTTAAAATTTTGTATCCACATTATGTGGTTCCATTTTTGTTGAAAAAGGCTCAGAAAGAACTCTGCCTACCTTCTGTCTGTGAGAAAGATTTCATGAAACTGAGACTACTTCATCTTTGCTTATCATTATTTCTGTTCAATGAAAGACTTAATGTATGTTCTTAGGCCACTAAACTGTGGCCTAACATAAAAAAATGGTTTGAATTTCATTAATACTGTACACGTATTTCACTGTATTGCCACTGTTTATAGCAATGATATGTCAGCAATGGCTTATGCTAAATCATTACAAAACCTAGATCTAGAAGGTGATCTCCAGCAGCAGACTGATATGAAAGACTGTACATTCTCTGTTGCCTTCCTGATCACCATGTGCATGACTAAAGGGATTAAGGACATAAATCATCTGACATGAAATATTCATAACCTGTGCAGCTTGTAGGACCTGGATGACAAAGAAATCTCTGAACAGCTGAGTCTCAATTTTGAATTAACCACTAAACCAGTAAGCATGTTGCAACTTAGCTAGCAGCAGAATGTTTTTTAACTTGTGTCAGAGGGTACCAACCCACTATCTGGACTGTGGATGGCTGAGTCCTTCTTTCCTTTTTCCATCCATTCTCATGCCCCAGACTGCTTAGCTCTTCCCACCCTATGAAAGTAAATTCTCAGTTACTCCTTTGTGCTGTTCCAGAGCTTTACCAGGACACAGGAGCTGTCAGAGCTGTCTGCAGTCATTTGTGTGGGAGGTGTGAGGGGACTTATGCATTAACTGTACTGAAATAATTACTGTATTTGACTTGACTAATAATCAAGTGGTATTTGTTGCCAAAAAAAAAAAAATCTGGACAAGGGGTAGAGGAATATTTCACTCATTAAGCTCTGTACTCAATAATTTCACAAAAATGAAAATATAAAATGCTTTGAAAAGAAGCAATTACTTCTAAAAGGCGTAGGAAGCACTATTTATGAAATAGGCACCATTTGTTATGATTTTTCATTCAATTTTAAACTTGGAATACCAGAGTCATTGGGGAATAAAATGTTAAGTAATTCTGCAGTCTTAATTTTTTTTTAGATGCTGCAGTTACCCTGTGTTGTCATGGTAACATACTTTCCGTATAATTGCCAGGCTGCCTCACAGTGATGAAAATAAGTAAAGAAGTTGTCATACAGCGTGACCCAGTCTTATATTCTGAGTGGAGATTTATTGCCCACAAAGCCACAATACCACCAAGGATATCTGTCACCTGCAGAATAAGGAATTGCATGGCACTGAAGTACTGCAGAAACACATGGCAGCAAATGTGAAGTGCTGGACCTGAATGTTATACAGGTGGACAAGGAGCCCTCCCCCGGGCCTACTCATGCTGAGATTATTTTTACTTATGCTTTACATGAGAATCAGAACTTCTCCAGCTATCAGCAGCCCTAAGCAAGTTATTTAGGAGCTTCATTTGTCTTGGAAATGCAAGAAGTCTGGAGGAAAGAGATGGTTACTCATACAGCCATCAACCTCCTGTTCACAAAGAAGATTTGTAAAGCAAGAGAGTCATAATTGACACAAACAAAAGTTGTCCCCATCTCCAGAGGAATTACTGATGGGATCCAGAGAATCCCTAAAATAAAATAAAATAAAACAGAAACATTAAAGTTTTCTTTAGTTTCTGTTTGAAGGATGCAGCTCTTACACCCCATCTGTTTCTTAAGGATATTTTTTATGTGAACCTGGGAATACACATTGCAGAAATCCTTCGCACAACCATGTTTTGCCCTCAGTCCTCACTGTATTTTGATGTATTGCTCCAGAGGAAAGGAAGTGCCTTGGGTAATATTTTAATGATGATCCCTGGGCACCTGATGCATAACGTCTAGGCACCTGAGAGCTCTCATCACCACATTCAGTTCAGGCTGAAAATGAGATAAGTTTCTTGAATTATAAAATTAAAAACACAGATGTCAGACAAGTGAAAAGAAGAAGAAGGAAAAATAAATAGTTCTGTCTCAGTCTTGGCACAGCAAGGATTTTCCTTTGTTGTTTCAAATTTTCCAGTCTGGGGACATGACAGTTGGCTCAGCTGTCACGTATACCACTTGCTCTGAGGTGTTCCTCTCCGGTATGTCATCATTATTCCTTTGTTAAAGACGGGTTCTGCTTAAAGCTCCCTCTTTCACTGTTTCAGCATCTCAGCTGGCATAGGTTTTGGGGGTGATTCTGTTCTTCCTCATAAGATGATTTGAGTGTGTTTTGTTTGTTTGTTTCTTTAGCAGCTTTTTCTACAAGACCTTTTTGTCTTAATTAAAGCTAAAGCTTCCCTATTTCTAACTTTTTTCTCAGTAGACTTACATTCTCGGTTTTCTTAAGCATGGCTATGATGTTACTTCCTCCCTTGTTAAACAACATGGACAATTGTAATAAGCAGGGTAGTTTCTCCTCCCCTGCTACTTGGGGTTATTTTTTTCCTACCCTTTCCATCCAAATTCACTTAAAATTAATTAGAATTTAAATAACCTCACACAGATATTTCTACTGTGTTCCTTAACTAGTCCTTCTGGCTCTTTCTGGAAATTGATATAAGGTTTAACAGAATTTCATCTTCCTAGATTAGGAGGACGATTCATTACTCTTGTGCAATGAAGGGCTTATGATTTCCAGCTTACCATTAATTTATTTCTTAAAGACCATATGTGTTGAAATGGTAAAAAATCTCATATTCAAAGTCTTGTTTTTCCAAAGTCAGTCTCCCCTGCTCACTCTCTGTCTGGAAATGTCCTGTCCGTAGAATATGTAGCATTATAAATTGTGGTTTATAATTTAATTTGTAATGCTCCCCTTCCCTCCCCTCCTCTCATTTTCTCTTTTTCTTTTTTTTTTTTCTTTTTTTCTTCTTCCTTTTTTTTTCTTTCCAGAAGACAGAAGTGTGGAAAGTGAGTGGCCATATTTCAAATCATGATTGGATTTCAAGAGTTACTTTTTGCCTTTGCAGGATAGTAGCTTTTTGTTCTGCCTTTCCTGCAGGAATTGACTGTTAGATGGAACAATAGAATAAAAAAAAAGCAATGCCTGAGCATATCTGATAGAAAATATTACCCCAGAAAAGCTGTTATTCATTGCTCCTGTGCAGGAACAGTGAAAGGATCACTGTAAACTTCTGCAGCATGCAAGGTGAAGTGTGTAGACTTATGACCAAAAAAAAAAAAAAAAGGTCTTTGTGGAAGGTATAGTACCTTCAACTGGGAAAATCACTGCAATTCAGAATGGTTCTCATTACAACATTTTATACGTCCCATTAAAAAGAACATGTAAGTTGTTTCCAGGAGGAATGACTTTGTTGTTGTCTGTATAATGACATTTTGGTCTATTACTCCTATCCAATGCTAGTAATAAAAATAATAGTCTATAATTGGGATGTACAATAAAATGTTTTTAAATTGGAGCACATAAAACTATCGTGTGAATACAATAATCTTCGTAAGGTAGATGAATGTTTCCTTGTATGAGTCTGTTGGGATGAAAAGGAAAATATGTTGAATATATATTTGATACAGGAATTTAAAATTAGAAATAAATTAATTTTCTTCCTTTTCTAATTATATTTTGCTTTATTCTCTTTCACATTCTCTCCATTTTATTTTCAATTCTTTGTTGCGCAAATGAACCACTGATACTTAAAAAAAAAAAAGAAAAAAGAAAATAAAATGAGGCTTTTTCAGTTCATGCCAACTCTCTTGTCTCACCCTCAATACATAAGCAAACAAATATACTTCTCTCTCACTATTTCTGAAAACAAAAGAATTTGTTACTCTTTCTACTTTGTGAAATCAACCTAAATTGCCATTGGTCATAGCACTGAAAGTCATGAAAGAAAACTACATACTTACAAGATATCTTTTTAGATATCTTTCTATGGGACTTCAGGATGTGATATCCACCATGTTATACAGAACTCCAAGACACAGACATGCACAACATAAGTGTTTGTTTGTTTGTTTGTGCTTTTCTCTTACATAACTCTGTTCTGCCAGTTTTGACGATGTGGATCCAGAACAGAAATCCATAACCTCAGGAGTCCTTGCCCTGTCCCTGCAACTAAAATTGCAATTTAGTTTGGGGCATGTTACAACTACAGCCTTTTTCCACTCTTGTTGGGCCTTCTGTAAGCTAACCTGGAGACTATATCTTACCAAGTCATCTCTCTGGGGTGTCTTAAGGATTAATTACTGTAAATGCAGTTCCTGGAACACATAAAGTTCTCTGTAAGTATCCATTATTAAATGTTATATCCCTTCAAGTACTTTTTCACATTACTTTTCCTTACTTAAGTAGCCTCAGTGACATCTGTTTCTATTAATTATTTTTACTGTTTGCCACTCTTTAACACAAGCTAAATGGCTTTGGCTGTGAGAAAGCAAATTTGGCAGACATCTGCTTTCATCTGTATTTAAAGTATACATAGTACAGAGTTTTTCAGTTACTTTACTCACTTAATTTGTCTTTGTCAACAATTTAATATATATATATATATATATTTAATCGTGGTTTTCTGACTTATTTTTCCCATTTGGTGAAGTACTTAAGAATATTGCAATTAAAACCCAAACAAACCAGTACCAATAACAGAGAAATAAAGCAGAGAATCAAGAAGCATCATAAACCTTTGCAACTTGAAGAAGTCTCATAATGCAACTTGAAGTCTCATAATTTTCATAACAGTCTGAAACAAGCTTTTACTTTATTTTTTTATTTTTATTTTTTCCTCTAGGACTGAAAAAAGGCCAATATATTAAAACAGGAAACAATACATGGTGCACAATGAGAAAAGAGAAAGTGACTGAAGATTTTGGAAAAGTCTAACTTCATCTGTCATGCAAAAATAGGTATGTTTTTAAAGCAAATTTTATTAATTTTTAAGGAGTTTGGTATTCAGTTAGAAAACATCATACAAGCAAACAACAACAAAAAATGCTCAGAAGAGTGTTCTAAAGCTCATATTCCTTATCTGCCATTTATCCACTCCTTCCTTTCATTGAACTAGCCTCCTCTCTCCATGTATAGTCTTTAGCATGAAAACATAGAATTTGTCTGTTCTGCAATCCTTTCGAGAGCTTTTTTTTTTTTCTTTTCCTGATTTCCTAATAGCATCTCTAGTGTATTAACAAAGGTGTCTAAACATAATTAATAAAAATAGAGTTAACAAAAAAATAAAACAAAAAATAAAAATAGAGTTAACAAAAGCAAGTCAACTTGTCTTCTCTCCACCATTTTTTTTCAGTAAACAAATGTAATGACTTCCTCCATTAAGTAAATAGAATTTAAGCTACTCATTCAGTTTAATCTATAAGAACAAATAGGTAGTGAGACCTAATGTAATGACCTAAATGAATTCTTCACCAACAGAGAAGTTTTTTCCATTGTGCCACCTTAGATTTAACTTGAGAACATAAATAGCAAGTGCTCCCCAGCCAATCTCACTTGTATGAAATGTACTTGAGCCCAAAGTGGTCTTTAAAGTAGTGGCTCTTGTATAAAATTGTATAAAAAAACTTTTACTGTATGTATTTCCAGTCTCTATGCTGTGTGCATATTACTGTGCATGCAGCCTCTGTTTTGCTGTGGAGATACTCGTGTGGAATAAGGGAAGGTTTGTACTTACATCCTTTCTCTACATTTAAAGTGTGGATACTTGCTGGATCACTAGTATGATCAATGATACGTAGCCACAAATAACAGAATTTTTGCCTAAAAGACAGACACCATGCCTGCATCACAGCTGGCTAATTAGAACATGCCAGCATTAAATTATGACTATATTTTTTTCCCAACATCTATAACTAATTTTTGCACCCTCCTATTTTGCCTTCCTTCTTGCAACCAGAGAATCAGTTTTCTAGTAAATCATATGCACTTTGAATGCATTCGAATATAAAATTCTACCAGGATTATGTCTGTAGCATTAAATTGGTACAAAACCAGTAAATATAGCCTCTGCAGTTAATATTTTTCCTCTCCCCTCCCTTTTTTCCCCTCCTCATATCCCATTCTTCTCTGCCTCATATTCATGGATGTAGATCATCCACCTCTTCCTCTCCCTCCCATCACCCTCAGCCCAGTGGCCACGCTCTGATCTACATATCATTTTAGTGCATTTGTCTTTACTGCCACAAGTTGGGACCTAGAGGTCTGTGAAAGAAACTGCAGTGGGTCCTGGCTCTTTCACCCTGCAGCCTCAAGCCCTAGCACAGCACTTAGATGATGCTTCCTATAGTTGTGGCTGTGTACTCTTCTCCTGATGGTTTCCTTTGTTTTGTTTTCTCTTATGCTTAATGTTGAAGCATTAATGGTGTCAGGTTACCTCTAAGTTTAAGAGTTGTGTATTTACTTAAAGTAAGTAAATAAATAAATAAGTGCCATAATGTATTTAGTTAATTACTTAGCACATTCATGTCTGGACCAAGAAAGGATTCATCATTGTTCCCAAAAACGTTCCTTAGCTGGGAGGCACAAGCATTTCTACTGACTCCATGTACTTATTTGTAGACTTGAATCTGAGTAACTCGTTGAATTGGAACCTACCACAAAGGTAGGAAAAGGAAAAACAAAATAAAAAATGTTTGCTCTAAAGGAACAGATAAGCAATATTTTAATTTCAGAAAAAAATATGCAGTCCTCTTCCACTCTGCTGGAAAAAGCCCCAAAGTATTAAGCTTGCCTACTACAAAAGTAATATTAAGAGCTTAATACTTTTAAATTTAAAATCTATCTTTGACTTATCTTAGTTCATAGCCCTGGAGCTGTAATGAATTTTTGAATGCTCTTATCTGGCCTCTGATATGTCCTTGACAAGGACACATATACTAATGAAATTCAAATCTTTTTTTAAGGAGAACTTTTATCCTGGGAATCCTTAAATGAGAATTTTGTATGGGCATTTAAACTATTCTATACTCATGCATCAACTTGTTAATGTGCCAGATCTGACAAAATAGTGAGCACATGAAGCTGCACAGAAACTGAAACTATGGGTGTTTGCTACAACAGGAATCACAACCCACATTTTTCTCTTAAATAGTGATACGCAATTATGCAGCCAATTTTCTAAAGCAGACATAAAACCTCTCCACCCAAAATATAACAGAAAGTAATCAGATGTTTTCAACAGTCTTCCCAATGCTCCATTTGCTGCATAACACCTTTATGCACAGCACCTGCATTCCCTCCCTTTTCTCCACTCCAGAGTGTCCCTTACAGAGGCAAGGACAGCCATCATCTGGCTCCCAGCAGTAAAGAACACATAGCAGATGGAAGCCAGCAAGTTACCAGGGCCAATTGATACTGACCTGGGTGAGAATAGCCATGGTGTCTCATTTACTACATGCTAAAATGGCTGTGCCAAGAAAGCACTAATTACAGATGTGCACAATGGAAATAATCCCAGTGTCTGTGATGCTTTTTGGAAATCTTATACTTTTCCTTGTTCTGACCCTTCTCCTTCTGCCTAACCCACACCCCTAATGACTGACACAAGACCCTGAAATTAATCTTTGAAGATAATCCCTTATTATTCCATGAAAGCTTTAAAATTGCCTTGTCTATGCAATTTTTCTGCTCTCAGATCACCTTGTTTGAGAGTGGATGTGGTTCTTTTGTGATAGGCTACTGCTAAGCCTAAGAGCATGCACTTTATAGTTCTTTCACAAAATGTTAAGGTAGAGGTTTAGTGGCAATTCTGGGATCCCTGGTTAAATTAGTATTTCCAGTAGGAACCTCTACACACTCCACATACGTTCATATATACCATCAGAGGTGAAAGATATAAGATAAAGATTTTAGATTCATAAATTAGAATTATTGTTACATTATTTTTGAGTTTGCAGTTTAAGCCTGTGCCAGTTAAATAGCAGTATTCAAATTTATTAAAGTGTACATTTAGATGTAGAGCTTAGGGATATGGTTTAGTGGGGACTGTTAGCGTTAGGTCAGAGGTTGGACTCGATGATCTTGAGGTCTCTTCCAACCTAGAAATTCTGTGTGTGTGTGTGTGTGTGTGTGTGTGTGTATGCCACTGATTGTGAAGGGCTACTGTTAAAGGGTGGTCTGTTCTCTGTACTTGTAATGGCATCTGGAACCAGCTGAATTTGTTCCAGACCTGTCATTTCTAAGAAAAGGAACTCTGGGAAGGATTGCCAGAGTAGGCTGATGAAAGGAAAGACAAGTGTATTAAAAGAGGAATTTAACTGACTGCAGAAAGTCATGTTTTTAGAACAGAAGGTAGTTTAAGATCAGGAGAAAACCCTTTAAAGTACTTCATGCATTAACCACAGAAAAGTTGGGGTTATAAATGATGATATATCAAGACTCTGCCTAATGGGCTATTTTTGATTTTATTTTTTTTTAAGCTTTATAAATTTTGTTATTATAAACTTACTTTCCTTTCGACCTTTGTGACTTACTCATCCTAATAGTTCATTAAATGATGACAATGTTTATATGTCACCCTTACAGGCACTGAGCTACTGTGTAAAAAAGCCAGGGTTTCCTGGCTTTTTCTCAAGAGAACAATTAATTAAAAAAGCCAAATAGAAAAGATATGGTAAGAGCACCTAACAGTATATTTCTTCTGATATCAGCACAAGATAAATTATGACTGTGAAACTTGGGTTTGCATCCCAAGTAACTACCTTCGAGCAATATTAACTCAGTCTCTGAACATCTCCCTCTGGGGCAATTATGACTGGTCCTAGATACTTCTTTGATCAGCTTGATAACCTTAACAAGCCCAGTTAACTCAATGACTGATATTAACAAAGAGCTGTAGACAGATTACAAGTGATTGCCCATTAGGCTAAAAATTTCTGAAACCTAGAAAAACACCAGGTGCCTGATGCTTTTTAATAACTAATAAATGGAGTGTGGACTGTGGTGGTCAGGTTATGGTGCAACTAGTTACTAAGTCTGAAAAAAGTGTATGTCATGGTAGCTTCGGGGTACACATTCCCTTTTGTTTTTTGTTTTTGGATATGCTGCATCTTCCCTTTTGGCAATAGATAAAAGAAACACTAATAACTTTTTTTTTTTTTTTTTTTTTTTTTTTTTTTTTTTAACCTGGTAGCTGTGAAAGAATGGATTCACTATCTCTATCGCCTTGGACTCCATTCACAAAAGAGTTCCCTTAGCCTAATAAATTCTACATAGGATAAACAAAGCCAGCAATGTACACATTCAGATTATGAATGAATCCTGTTCCTGCAAGGTATGGAGTCCTTTCTCCAAGCTTCCAGAAGCAGATGAATCATGGAAATATAGGATCTTTCTAGCTGAGACTCTGTCCTGATAGCAGGTTCTTACTTATCGTTTGCAAGAGAAAGTTCATTGTCGCTAGCAAACAGTTAATGAGAAACAGATTCTCCAGACAAAAAGTAAAAAAAAAAATATGGCTTGGTAGGTATGTTCCTTTTTAGACAACAGTTTGTGAACACATAATTAAACATTTATTCAACTAGGGCTTGATTTATGGTAGACCATCTCAGGGATATATAATCAAGTTCCAGTCTTGCCTATTTAATTGATCGATGGGAAAGTAACTTGCTGGAATTTAATAAAACTGAAAGCATCAAAGGTTTTCAGAGTGTTGTTATTTTTCTTGGCAGACTGATCATAAAATATGCAAGGAGACTGTCATTACTTGCTGGTTCCATAGGTACAAGCTGCCTTTTATGCTTGTCTGTCTAATATATATATATTTTTTTTTTCATAGCATATCTGAAGGCCAAGTCTTGCTTTCTCTTTCAGCATAGAGGCTTAACACTTTCAGGCCTGAAGTTACATGCTGTGAGCACTCAAGCTGCTTTAGCGTATTTTTTTTCTTCCCCTAGGATCC